AGTTATCCATGGAAGAAAAATGTTGTAAACAAAAAAAAAAAAAAAAATCTGTAAATAAAATAAAATAAAACAAAACACGAATCTTTCAAAGAGAAATCAGAAGCTTCGAGAGTGCCTCTCGGTGGTAGAGTTGTTGCAAGTGGTTCAATGCCCCTCCTCCTTCAGTGGAAATGCATATAAGCATTCTAACAACGTTATTTACTCGTCTAAAATGGGGAGATCTTATGCTGTAATTTTAAAGGTAATAATGAGTACAAGTGGGGAAAACAGTAATCTATCATTCCTACGAGGCTCTCATTACACTGATTATTAGACATCCCGCGCCCCGTGTTTATAACATACAGGAATAGTCTCCTGCGTTAGCGCAGATATGTAAGGGTGGCTGCATCAACAGAACTATTCCCCTTACTCTAAGTGGCATTCCTCAAGAATCAAATCATTTTTTGCTTGGACATTAGCTCTCATCAAAGCAGATCGCTAATGCTCACGACAGATAATAAGAAAATGTTACTCGGTGGTAAAATAAAACACCCAATAAAGTCAGGAGAGGCACAAAATATTGAAGAGGAACTCTGGAAATACAGGAAATATGGCATGGGGGAAGCAATGAGCTGAATATAATTACGAAGCCTTCCCTGGGAAGTTTGCAAGTGCTGGGGCAATTCTAAAATAGCTGGCGAAGCACAGGGTAAGACGAATGGGCAAGATTCAGCCTTTTATGCAGCTTTTAAAGCCACGGTACCTACATTTTCTAGCTTTATACACTAGAGATTTAAATGCTGAGTATGTGACTACTCCTGAATGGGTTTCCCCAACTATTACTTTGTGAAGCTGATGGTGACTCTTGAGGGGAGCCTAGAACAGACGAGGCAGGAAGCAGTACTTGGCAAACAAACGTCTCCATCAGTTATGACACACTATGCATTCATAACTGAGTCCCTGTGTCCTTTTTGAAGAGTAATAAACAAGCTGAATGAGGGGTGATTAAAAAAACTATTACCTCCTTTGTTCTAGATTCCATATTTCTTTCCATTTAGGAAACTGAAGATCAAAAATCTCCCTTATGCTGGATTAGCAAGCTGACATCAAAAGTCCACTTAACCCACTTGCTGTGGTTTCTTGCAAGAATAACAGAGCAGCGGAGACAATCAACTTACAAGGACAAACAGATTCTG